TTCTTCCCCTCTTTCAAAAACTGACTTGATCGTCGGAGGGGATACACCGAAAAACACTTCGGCGCCCTTCTAACTTGTCTTTCTCTGTTCCAGGAAACCCCCTCAGCCTTACTGGACCGCTCCCTTGATCCACGACAGTCACCCATTACCGTTCCAGGCTACCAACGGATCTCAGCCTGTTCCAAATAACAAGGATGACCATTTGATTGACTGAATCGAGTTCACCACGGGAGAGATCTGTTCTCGTGTTTATATTGTATAAGATCCTACACGCACAGTCACCAAAGTGGAAGATGTCCTTCAGTCGTTCACAGCAGAGGGTATGGAGAGAGTTGCCATGGCGAGGGAAAAAAAATAATGGTAAAAGTGATTGGCTGAAGTGATTTTGGATAAGGAAAATCTTTATTTTTTACATTTGATGGAGTTTGTTGGAAAATCTTCAAGATGAAATAGACGATGCTAAGCGCAATCGTCTCATTTAACATTTATTAGTGTTTACTGTGTCATTTGTCGACGTTTACAAACTCCGGTTTTTGGCATAATTCTTGTAGTGATGTATGTTTTTAAGACCCAAAGGACACGTCATGCTTACTTATTAGTTCTCTTCTAGGCATGGCAGTTGATCGAAGCAGGGACGGAAGGTGTAGTTTTCATCTTCGTACCCATTTAAAAAATTTTTGTTCATCCTTGATCTACTCCTGTTAATGGGTAGATTTGTAATCCTTCACCCCCACCCTAGTCCACCTTACTTGTCCAAACCCAAGTCAACATAATTCAAAATTCTAAATAAATTTGACATTTTAAATAATTCAATATAATTATAGAATATCATAACATAATTAAAAGTTTATCATTTACAACATAATCTAACATAATATAATTAAAATCTTTTTACAACATAATATAATTAAAAGTTTGTCTCCCATTTAAATCCAACACAATATAATATAACACAACATAATGTAACATAACATAATTTAATATAAAAAAATGTAAAAATACAAAAATCTACACTTTTACAAGCCAAAAACATGAAAAAAAAAAAGGTCAAAAAACAAAACAATTTTCAAAAGAAAAAATTATTTAATAATATATAAATTTGTATTCACAACAACATGTATATATATAAAATAATAATAGTAATGGGTAAACCGGGGCGAGGGTAAGTGTCAGTTCATCCCCGCACGAGTTTATACGGGTATCTCCGTATGCATCCACCTTCTAATACATATAGTCTATTCTCGGTTCAAACGAGATGGGTTTGGACGAATACCCATTTTTACCCGGTCTATTGTCATCCCTATTCTCATGTGTTTTCATATCTGAATTCATTGTCATCGTGTCAAATGTAAAAGAATCGTGTCATAAAAAATCGTGTTGTAAATGTGTTGAACATAATGTAAAAGAATTTGACGTCTGTTATTTTTCATCATCAACAATAATATTCTTTTATAGCTTTAATTTTGCTTAAGACTCTAAAATCAAGAGATATATGATTTATGTTTTCAATATTTTAAAATAAAGATGGCAATTACCAAAATTGTTATTTCACTAGTCAATTTTAGTGAATTAGATAGCAAAATTCCTTTTTCATTCTGCAAAACCACGCATTTCTTCCCCCTCTCTCTATTTGTTTCTGTACAAACTTTTCAATGATAGTGAAATTCTTATTTCAGTATCTAAAACAATCTTGTTTCTTCTAGTTCTCGCTCTATATCTATCTATAAAACAATTTCACTATAGTGAATTTTTATTTTCATAACACTCGAGTCAGATGGTGATGATCTAGAGTAAAAAATGCGAGACAATTCTTCCCTTTGCAAGCCAAATGCTTTTAAAAAGTTCACAAGGTATTGTAATAGAAGCCCCAGATTTGCAGGATATCAAAAAAAAAAAAAAATAGTTTTGGTAACATCTAATAACGTGTTTGTTTTCTTGGGCTGGTTCAAATTGCTTGAATTTACTATCCACTCAGACACTATTGTAATAGCATAGACACGTAGGAAGAATTATTGAGAATATGTCATGAGAGGTTTATCCTTCATGAATATCTTAGTTTCGGTGTGGATGACTTATTTTTGACCAAACCGTGAAAAGATTAGTTAAAATACAGTCAGATATCCCTGACTGCTGAATAAAAAAAAATACAACAGTATTAAGTCACAAAATAACTACCAAGTCCATGGAAATATTCATCTTTTATGATCCACATGTTAGAATGCATTAGAAAGAATACACGGTCAATTCTAGTTAGATTCTCTTTGAAATATCACTTTTTTGTGGGGTCCATATGTGATACAACAATTAAAACAAACATGGTATAAAATAGGAGTATATCATTATACAAAACCATCCTAACCGGTAGAGATGTAAGGGGTTGGAAAGGACCCTCCAATCCCATCCAACTATATCCCAAAGCAAGAATGCCACTTATGTAGATTAAGAATTTTTCAACCAAAAGAGATTATGTGAATTCGTGAATTCACAAGCCAATCGATGTAGGCAACTAGAATTAGATGATGTAATCTAGAGAAAAAGTTAATTTGAGAATTTCTCCCTTTGAAAGGTGTTGCACTCTCCCATAAGTATAAGAAATATCGGCATTGTTCAGATTGAAAGTATAAATCATCATCGGACATTCTTGATTTAGAATATTCCATCCTTGAGGGGGCTTTCTTGCTTCGAACTCTTAGAGAAAAACTTAAGAGGATATTTCACGACAAATCGATAGTTTTTTTATATTAAAGGGACTTTATTTTTTTGTGAAAATCATATTAAGAAGCCATGTAGTTGTTTATTGAGAATTATCTATAGATTTGATTCATTGTTTTCTTAACAAAAGTGGGCTATGAAGGAACGGATGTGAAGATTCGAATTTGATTGTCGTAGTTAGGATAAGATAAAATATTCGATTACCGTCTCTTACAATCTTAAAAATAAAACCTCAAAAAAAAAAACCTTCAAAATTGTGGCTCTATAGTCGATCATGTTGATGAGTCTATGTGGCTTTGCTATTATTTTTGCTTCCCATGTGCTGTTGTCATACCTTGTCTTCCACAGTAACAATGATTGTTACCAGGGGTGTCAATAGTGTCTTGTTTGTGTGACCTACATGTCGTGTTATTTGTGTTATGTCATTTTTATTTGTGTCATGCTCGTGTTAAGACCCACCTAAAAAAAATTTATTTAATGTATTCTAAGTATTAAATATTAATTTAAATTATTTATTATGTGTATTTAATAACCAAGTTAATTTTATAATCATTCGTGTCGTGTTCGTATCAACGGGTCAAAACTGACATCCCTAATTGCTACCGTTTAACTTAGATCGATTAAAAGGAAGAAATCAAGGTTGAAATTAAATGATTTAATAAAAATTGATCAAGTCAAGGTTAGAGTTCAACCTCCAATTAACATTTGCAAAGATGGTCTCTCTAGTTCAACCCACATTACACTATCGTGCCATCACCAATTGATTATAACTAATGTGGGCGGCTTGTCAATCGCAAGATGACACGTGGCATATCTCCACAAGCAAATGTGTCTTTCCGGTTCCCATGAGTTGAGGCCGAGAGGCTAGCAACCGTTGGGCCAAGTAAATGCACTAATGGGGGCCAATGTGAACAACTGACCCTAAGATTAAATTTCATTGGGACGTGCGCCTCATGCAGAGTGCTAATGTGACAAGCAATTATTGACACCTCATCAGCAAGAGACTCACATTGAGCCACCAAAAAGATAAGACACGACTCTTAACGGTGAATAGCCCTCGAGGGGTATCCAGTTAAATGTTCGGCATGTAACGTCAAATACTTGCAATAGATTGCGAGTATTTGATGAGAACACTTGATGTTCGAGATGACTTGGTATCTATGGGGCGGGAAGTCATAAATGTTCGGTCACTTCCGAGCATCCACCCCCGACTCTGTCCAATCACTGAGTATTAATGATGCATGACAAGGAGCATTTATTGTGTTGCTAAATGACCGTAGGCTATTAAGTCTAAGTTGGGTACTCAAGTGGATATTATGTCATCATATGAAGGTATAACTACTTCAATGAAATAAAACATATGTATGCATGCTAAATTACATTTGTACTGTACACTTATCCTCTCAGTTTTGAACTCTGATTGACTTAAACTTCGAAAGGGATAAGTCGAGAACACTTCCAACCCTTTTTTGACTTCGTTCCTCTTTTCAAGAATCTCATTCAAGTGCACACTAATACAAGCTATCTCAAACTACTACAAAAAATCACCCATGCAACAACCAGGGCACAAGCAAGTGAAGGGTCTTCCGTAAGCAACTATCTAGAACATTTTTGCATTTAGTTGTTAATAAGTTACGTCGTGTCAAATTCGTGACATCTCTAAGTCGTACTATGTCAATATTTGCTCAACTCATACCTGACCCATTTGTCTTATAATGAAGTCTAGCCAAGTTTGTGCCGTGCATAACCATGAATTGAAAGTCAGCTTATACATGGTCTTGCAGAAGAGACGAAAATTAATATTGTTTTTAGAAGTCAATCTCACCAAACTACACTTGTAAGCTTGACATGAAAAGTAGAGGCAAGCGGAGTCAAAGGCCGAGCCTCAACCAGCAAAGGGGGCCAGACAAGCCCATACCCAAGCAGAACAATTAGAAACCCACTCTCATCTTTCTTTACCTTTGATTTGTTCTTCAAGGAGACTCGTGCATTTTCGTGCTTCACATATACTTGTTACCCCATTTATATGTCTGGTTTAATGAATTCAACTATTTACTATCTGAACCCACTAAAACTGAACTCAAGCCCATTAATTCAATAGCAATTATATGTATAGTTAATGGATTGATTTTAAAATTGCCACGCCTACTGACAACTTTGCCACGACCTGCCCACAAACAGCACATCTGCATCATAAATTTGGGTACAGTAGGCAGTATAACTTTTGCTTGATCAAGTGCAAACATTACAACAGCTACATGTGAATTTGCAGCCATGGTTTTCCCCAAAAAATCAGTCGTTCACCAGCCTCTGGTATCTAGAGGAATTACTTACCATATCCCTGCTTGCATCTCCTCGGGTTTAGGGAATATTTTCCTACATAACACCTTCCCAACCCGGACTCAAGCTCAGATCACCAAATGTCAGGCGATCCGCACAGTCAGAAATACAAAGATAATTAATTCAAAAACTACAGAATTCTATGCTCCACATATAATGCATATCTGGATTGGCATTCAATCATTCATCTAAATCAGGACCTTAATAACCATGAAGATATAATACTGATGATCCCACAAATTTAATTTCTGATAATTCCCACTCAAGAGCCCAGAAAGAAAAGGCCCGACTGGAAATGCAAGAACTAACCTCATCAGAAACCCAAGTTTTCAATTTTTGACTACAATAGATCACACATTCAGCAGGTTTTTACCTTGTAGCAGCAGCTCTTGCACTCATAGACGTATGGTAATTGGTACTTCTCTGTTTCCTATAAGAAGAATAAACATCATCATATTGACTGGCCTCATTTGGATTAGCTGTGGCCCCAAGTCCCAACCGTCCTGAGCTACTTGATCCAGGCTTTCGTTCTACACTTCCATCAGCAAAAGTTCCTGTCTCAGGGTCCACTTGTAAATTAGGCGGTGGAGGTATGCAAGCTCCTCCCTTGCGAATGGGAGGCTCTCTCTCATACTCATCATCTTCATCGATTGATTCGGAAGGTTTCATGGGTCCTTCAGAAGGGTTAACCTCTCCAATCTCTTTAAAGAATTTTGACACTCTCTCGAGAATTTCAGATGGAGATACATTGGAGGGTGGTATTACAGTAGGGATATCCAAAGGGCTCATGGGAGAGTAAGGCACCCCACTACCGATCTGCATTTTTCTGACCATTCCAGGAATAAGACCAGGTGGAAACAAAGGATATGGAGGTAATTTTTCACCAACATTAGCAGTCGGTCCTGGCAATATATGGGACGCAGGTTGTTGATTTGCTTGTTGACCGGAAGATGGGATTGGCAAGGACCCAACAAAACTACCAGAAGGAACTGAATTAGGAAGAAATTGTTGTGTTGCTACTGATGGTGGCATGGCTGATAGGGGAGAAACTTGTTTATCAGGATGTTCTAGATCTGGTAAGTTTGGCACCAAACTTAGCTTATGAGGCTGCCACTGTAAAGTATTATGGTTTGTCAACTGGGGTGATGGTCCTGCATGAATAAAAAATAAATCCAACTTTAGCAGAAAGATTGCGAATTTAAAGCAAAAAAATCCGGGCAGCCAACTATATGCAGGCCTATTGGGCTTTTTTCTGGTCTGAGTTACAATGGGAGCAGGCAACAAGGTTTGAACCCTCAAACAACCTGCAGGGCGTGGCCATCAGACCAACTGCTGATCCTCACAAGCTTATTAAATTGAACAAACAATATTTCTCGAGGACACTTGTCCCTATAAAACTTGATCTTTCCAATTACCCCGAAGAGTAACTATGCTTTCCATAAGTCTCGGCATGGTGGATCAAAGTGAGTGCGTACATGCATGTGTATGTGTAGTGATGAATCTAGGATTTACCTTGAGAGAGGCCAAAGCCTATGTAATTAAACTAACACCTAGAACATGAACTACCTCTATACTTGGTAAATTCAAATTTGCATTGTATAAAATATATCAAACCAGTAAATATACATACACCGTGAATAAAAAAGAAAAAGAAAATGAACCACATGAATAGTTTTTTTTATTAAATATCCTCCTAGTCAGCTATCAGTAGTAGTCATTCATCTTACTCATTCATCGAAATAATATCTGACATCATTTTCTATCACATGATTTACCCATGCTTGGATCTGTTCCAATTTTTTAGCAACTTTATTTTCGAAGTTTAGTTATGATAACACTCATAACCAAAAAAGCACAATGGAAACTTGAAATAGAGCTGAGAAGTAAGTAAACTAGCTACAAGTGAAATGAGTGGTGTAGGCACAAGTCTAATCAATTTATGTAGGCGTTTCTAGTAGGGCATATTTAAATAAAAAATCGAAACAGATGACAACCTCATATTATTATGAGAGAGTATATCGAAAAGTTACTTTTTGAGTACTCTGTCTTTTTTTGTCTAAACACAAAGTGACACGTGCAAAATTAATTATTTTATTGGTCCATATAATTCTTACAATAGCTAAAAATAACTCACTAAAATCTGCAGTTGCAATTCTTTTTTCTTTTTTTTTTGTATAATATTGAAAAATTAAATTCGATACCATATTCTTATCCTATTATTATAGTAAAAGAAGAATATTATTATTATGGTGATATCTCAATATTTAAAAGATACTGTCAAGACCGAAGTCAGTGTATGGAAAACTAGAAGCACATATTATACACACTGTCCTTGGAATGAACCTTCTTCTTCCACTACTCTTAGTGCCATGGCCCCCCTGGATCCTTCCCCAGGTCCGTCACTGTGTGAGTGTGTGTGTGTGTGTGTGAGAGTGAGAGAGAGAGAGAGAGAGAGATACCTGAAATGGTCAAATGATCTGCTGAAACAGCAGATAAGTCCCTTGGAGGCACAAGATATAAGTTTGTTGTTGATCCCCCCATCATCTCATTCTCAAGCCCAAGAATAGTATCTTGATCAAAAACTTCCTTAGAGGCCCAAAACTGCAAAATCTTTTGTAATCGTGACTGATTTTCCTCCTTATTTTGAGGGTTGTGGTAAATCCTCGAAAGCATGGAACCTATTACAGGCTTAAAAGCAAGTGCCTCGTTATCTAGGTCATGAGGGTTGATCCGTCTTTGCAAGCTGCACATTTCAATACGAATTGACTGGTAAATATGCACTAGTTTCACAATATTGACAGAACCCCCAAGGTCAAGCTAGAGCTTAGATCTATGGCCATCTCAATCAACAATTTTTAGTATCTTTCAAAACAAATGCCAGAATCATTGTCACAATCTAGGAAGGTTGATGAATATCACACACTGTTAGAAGGAAAACAGAACAAGTTTAAGTGGGACATTTAACTATAAGGAAAAAAAACAACAGCAAAACCATTTACTTCATTTATATGCAAATAAAATAACATGATTCAGCAACCCCTGGGATATTAAACCAGGCAGGTAACAGCCTCTTACTTTGGAATGTACCAAAGGAAAAGCTCATGTATGTCATACTCTTTCCTGTCAAGAGCTATCAAGTCATATATAGCTTTACCAAGACAATGTCCGTCCTTACCTACAGGATACATAACTTCCACTATTATTTCAACCAAAACACTATCGACATATTCGAACTCACAACTTCCTGGTTTAGCATTGCATGACCACACAACGTCCCACCATTCTATTGATATTACCCAACAACGGCAGAAATTCCATTGGCAATTAACATAAACCATGCCCTTTCTCAGCAGGATTCCTGCCTCTGCTTTCTACCACCACTTTCTAACCAAAACCATTTCAATTGGCAAGTGGAACCATTGAGGAAAAGTTGCCAACCGGCTCTTTTCTTTTCTTTTAGTAAAGGACAAATGATGAGCAACATTTCAGGCAAAGAAAATCACAAACATGTTTCTCCTTTTAGGCAAATTCTATTTTACTCCACTCATCGAAACTAACCGAAGAAGACTTTTGTCAGATTTGGCCCAATTCCTGGTTTCTTTACCCTGCTATAAATTTTAGACAGGTGAACCGAAAAAGGAAGGAAAATCTAATTAGTTTTTAAGTGCATGTGGGTGTTTAATCAAGCACATAGCTTAAATTGCAGCTACCTAACCCTGCTTCAAAAATTATACGTGATAAGCAATGTAATCCCGCTAAAGAAATTATACTTGCCCAAGGCATTAACTACCAGCATATGCTGAATCCATACAACTAGTAATAAAAATTTGATCTCTACAGTTCTTAAAATGTATACCCCCATTAATCAGCCAATGTTTCATGTCCGTTGAGGCATTGCCCGACTGTTTTTGTATGATTATTTGGACAAGTATCAATAACATAAATCGATCAATTGTCATCTCAATACGTAAAAAAAATGAATGATTGGTTAAAGAAAGTCACGAATGAGAGATCTTTTCATGTGCTACAGTATATTTAGGATGAGAGATAGGATATGGAATGATAAAGGAACAAAGAGTGAGGATCATATGTAATGGATAGAGGGAGTGGAAACAGGGAAAAGGGGGGGAAAAGAGAAAAGGTCGGAGAAGGATAGGGGTGATGATTTCCTGGTTCTGTGAATGCATTGAGGTTATTACCATCTACCCCCTGTATTTTGTCAATTTCACACTATTTTGTTTCATTAATTTTAAGGTGACATGGATCATCTGGACATGTTATTAGATAAAGGACCAAACTAGGCCAGTGCATAAGATTTAGCAATAGCTATAGACTTATGCACGTGGTCCTATAAATATGTATTAAAGACTTAAAGTACATATAGAAGTACACATGTATTGAAAAATGTATCTTGGAATGTGTGTAAAAAGCATATGTACAAGGATCTTCAAATAGTATCCCCAATATTCAAGATCAAAAACAAATAGTTAAAATACCCAAGAAAAAAAGATCTAAAAGAAATCAACAAATATATACTCAGGTAATAGCACAAATTACATCGGCATTATTAAAGTAAGGACGCTGCCAAGACTCTTTACAGCATAAATTGTCAAGAAAGCTTAAGCAAAGGAAATCTCCCAACATTTATATATAGAGCCAGAATAAAAAAAATCCAGTTAATGCGGGGCACCTGTATTGGGCAAACAAAGCAAAATTATGCGATGCCATACAGTAACAAGTAATATTCCCTATCTTTAAATTATTTTCCTAGCTGTTTGGGCATTCAGTTTCTGACCCCAAATTTCATTAGGTTCATCAGATATTTCTTGTTTTCATGAACAAAGCTCTAAGGAATATTGCACACAATACACAGCATTTACCAGTGTTTTACTCATTTTGTTTTTCACAATCATTCTATTAAAAAATAATAAAGCATCAGAACAGGCGGCAGAAACATTCACCATTGAAAATTAGGGTTTGGATTTTTTGTTTTTTGGGGGTTTTGGGATGGGGAGAGAGAGAGAGAGAGAGATGCTATCAAGTCATTGATAAATGCAGAAAGATAATAAAAGAGAAGAAAATTGGAAAAAATGTTGAAGGTAGCATAAAATAATCGCATTCTATCAGCCAATATTAGGGTTTGCTCCATTACTTTAATTCATGTCTCCTCCGGATATGGTGAGCACTATAAAATTACCTGTCAAATAGAATGTCATTGGCCAGGTAAATTATATGCAATTGTCTCTCGGAATCATCCAGAGCAAACACCCTGTCTCTGAGCTCCTCAGCCAGAGCTGGTGCAAATGGGGACCTCTGCATGAACCAAATTTTGGCACCTTTGATTGACTCTTTGGTACCAGTAAGATTGTTGAGCACATCATTTAGCTCCATCGCAACATCAGAAGGCAGTGGCCTAGACAGACCTTTGAAAGACCTGGTTGACTGGTCAAAGTCTGGTCGACCATGACTAGCAAAAGGCTGAGAATGCAGATGGGGTTGTGGCTCATAGAACGATGGAAAAGGAGTTTGCATTTGAGGTGAACCCATCACAGCAGCAGCAGAGGAACTCAACTGAGAAGCATTTAGAGGTGATGGATTTATCATAGGATTGGGAGGATGATGCATCAAAGGTATTGAAGAGGAGGGGAAAGCAGGATTGAAGGAGCCACCAGGGGCGCGTGTACATAACCAAAGCTTGTAGCGGTAGTAATTATGCCCGTCACCACCAAAGAGGAAACCATACCCAGGATTGTCTTGCTCTTTTTCACGTACCATGGCTTCAAATTCAGGGCCATTCTTGGCAACATACTCAGCAAGTTTATCAATACGCTTTTGAAGTTCAGGATCATGGGGAGGAGCAGCAGGGGGCGGCGTGGAATCATACGGGCCATGGAAAGGTGGAGGAACAGCGTGAGGGGGTAAATGAGGAGGAAAAGCAGGCGGAGGCTGCTGTTGCTGCTGGAGATGAAGAAGGTGGGGATGGGGAGGAGGAAGTGGATGGAGTTGTGGCTGCTGCATCGAACGATGGAATGGGAACTGCTGTAGAGAGGGATGTGGGGGTAGAAAAGGACCAGGAACTGATGGAGGGAATTGCTGTTGTGGTGGATGAAAACCAAACTGTTGCTGCTGTTGGATATTAGCAGCTTGTTGCTGTTGTTGGGAAAATGCCATAGCAGCTGCATAGTCATGAGCCTGCCGATCCATCAAGCTTCCAGATAATGCAGCAAACGAAGGAAACTGCAGCTATAGGAAAACCTCTAATGTACCTAAGCGAATAACAAAAAACAATCAGATAAAATCCATTACTCAAAACAGTAGAAGGGCAAATCACCTTATAAAAACACTACCATAATGAATGCTTGAAATGGCAGCATCCAGTACTACATGGTCAAAATCATCCAGTATGGCCATTAAGTGAACTTAAAAAGATATTATGGGCGGCCCAGTGCACAAGTCTCCAGTCTGGGACTGGGGAGGGTATATGCAATCTTACCTTGACCTAAAAAAATAAATGCTGAAAATATGGGGCAGCAAGAGACATTGCATTTGTTGAATAAAGAGTTGATTCTGCCGTTTCAACCATCCATCTATCCTAATAATGTTCTATTTGGCTGTTCCATAAACTTATGATAGACATGATAAGAAAAGCTACCCAAATTGTCTATCTGGAGCCACAGCTTGTACACGAAACATAGTTACTAAAAGAAAACTAATTTACAATATCATTCTCCGATGCTTTCTGCATAAGCTATAATGGCCTCTCATCTAAACATATGCAGGGACAAGGGATCCTTCAAGTAAAAGAAAATAAGTAAACTTGAATAACAGAAGAAAAAAAAATAAGAATCACCAATACCCACAAGAACTTTCTACGCAAAAAGGATAAGAGGTTAAAAATGCACAATGACCCGTTCAGTTGCAGTTGCATCTATAGCTGAGTAGTCAGCCCTGTACAGTAAATTTAAGGTCCTTCTAGACTAAATGTCTGAGATCATGCGAGTGAAATGGCAACAACACCAGCAGTCACTTCCAAGCTGTGTTGAACGTATGAGTTCTTATGAAATCACTCTTAATCAACATTTTCCTCGGACCTTAGAGTGAATTTTAATGTAGCCCATAAGCTCAAGAAAAAGTAAATTCAAAAAGAATCACTGTGGCAAGTTGTCATCTTAGCAGAGCCTTATTTTGTGGTTTATTCAACTTACTTTGCATCAGGTACAAGCTTATACAAGTTTCCTTAGAGTTTTTCAGTGCATGTCAAGCTTAAATTTCCCAAATTAGTGACCATCAGCTACAATAGTAGTTCGTGGTCAGTTAATTTCAGTCAAATTACGGTATTGGATCATTGTAGAGGGACTTTGATTAGTCAATAGTATAGGTTTGATAAAATCAGCAAGAAGTCCATATAGAGCACTGCAATTCCTCTATGAAACACGGACACTCTCGAGAAGGTGACATATCCGTGTCGGATACATGTCGGACACCAACACTCTTTGGACACTCTCGGACACGTGTCCAATACTCTTTTATCCGTATTTATAAATAAATAATTTTTTTTTTAATTTTAGACACGTGTCTGACACTTCTTTGGTGACGTGTCTAATACTTCTTTAGAATGTTTATACTACTAAACAATAGGCATGTATTGAAATGTGATTAATAAAGTTTAAAATTTTGAGAACATAAAATTACTAATACTAGATATGTTAAAATTGTAGTCCAAATATAATAATAAAAATAAAAGCATAAAATTTAAAAAAAAAAAAAACTGAGAAAATGAGAGCAATTATTTAAATTATATATTAGGTACATATTGTCTACAAAAAAAAAATTGATAATTATTGACTATTATGATGATATTTTAGCTTAAAAATTTACACAGATGATTGCACAAAAGATTTACTTATCATAAAATATTGAATATTTATGAATTGTTTATCATTATCACTATATTTGCGATAAATTATAATAATGTTATATATAAAATATAATTTTTTATAATGTATCCCCAACGTGTCCGTGTCCTATTTTTTTGAGAAATGTCATATTTGCATGTCCAATCCGTGTCCGTACTTCTTAGCAATTCCTTATATTCAATGAAGAGCAAATCCAGAGGATCTTCAAAAGCTTCTGGTGCTGTTTTGTTCTAGTGTGATGCACTTCTAAAAGCTATAATGGCAATAGAATCATCCTAGGTGTGACGCCTTTGACTAAACTATTTCTTTTTCTTCTTCTGTTTTATTACTTCAAGCAGATTTTCCCAACCTATCAACGACCAGGCGATCATATCTTTGGGTTTTCTAGTTTTTTCGGTGTATAATCCCACCACTATAACCTAAGAAGCACGGATACGGACACTGGTGTCATATCCGAAATGATACGGACACGGAGATATGATATATATATATATATATATATAGATAACAACATCAATAATAACAATCCATTAATAACAATCCAAAAAAAACACAGCAGGAAGAGTGGAAGATAGAATTACAGAATCCAGATTTTGAAAACCAGCAGCACCAGACCCCCAAAAAAAAAATGCAGCAGCCTAGATATTTTTGGAATTTGAAAACCAGCAAAAAAAAAAAAAAACCCAAAAGGCAGCAACACAACATTAAGACAGAAAAAGTAAGCAGTTTTCGGAATCAATTGCACAGTATCAAAGGAAAAAAAAAACCCCAAAATATCCCCAAATTTTGAAAACCCTACCTAAATCCCTAATCCAATCAAATTTTTGAAAGCCCCCACAAAACAGAAGTAAGAAAAAAAGATCTTAGGTAACAAAAAAGAAGAGGAAGAAGAGGAACCTGGTAAGTGGTAACAGCAGTCGCAGGCAAACAGTCACGGGCAGCAGTAGCAGGTTGGTCTTCCTCTACCTTCTCCTTCTTCGCCTCCTCTTCTCCTTCTTGTTTAAGGGCCAAAGCAGATCCTTCAGGCTTTGCTTTTGTCTTTTCTTCTTTCAAGGCCAAAAACAACGTCGCTATATATATATATATATATATATATATATTATATATATTTTTTTTTTTTTTTTTTTTAAACCCTCTAAATTTTTAAAATAACAAAAATAACCCGCTATATTCCGCTAGAATATCCCCAAGTTTCGGGCTAAAAAAAATTAAATTTATTGTGCAGGATACTTCTAGACATGTCGAACACGTGTTCGACCTTGTTCCACGCGTGTCCATGCCGAACAAGTGTTCGACAATGTCACGGCGAACCCCACCGAATATCTGTGCTTCCAAGTCTATAACCCTATGCCATTCCCTACCCAATTACCGCTCCCTCTAGTGGCAATACTCAGAAAATTACTGTCCAGCCCACTCTTGTGACATGATTCTAGCATCCCACCAAACTATTAATTCCAAAAATAAAGTCATCCTGAATAAACTAAGTGGCATAGAATCCTACAACAATATGGAATGAAGACGGTAAATCATAGAAAAGTAATACTTAGTTACAACAAACACACAGCACCATATATGTAGATTCGTTACATGCATATAATACATGGAAAAAAAGAGCACGATACTTTCACCATTGTAGTGTTTAGTCAGAGTAACATTGATGTAGCCTTACCCGCATGCAAAAAGGTTGTTTCCGTGACTAGTACCCATAAAGTCCAAATCACAATGAAGCAGCTATGTAAGTATGGAAGATAAACATCAAACTGACTCATTTACTTGCTTTATTTTATTCAAATAAACTATGAGAGGTTGTACACTTTAGGGTATTCTCGTTCCGATTGTGCTGCACATAAATTCTATTGAGAGTACTTGTGTCAGGGTTACCTGGATCGTGGGTTGATTGGGTACGTGGTATGGGTACAGGTGCAGAGTACATTACTTTTTGCGGTACATGGTGTGGTGGGGGTAGGCTTAGCTGATACGCTATTTTGGATCGCGGTTCGCTTTGAACTATTATTCAGATTGTTTTCATTATTACAAAGAATTATATAAATATATACATTATAAAATGCAAATCAAGACCAACAACAACACATCAAATAATAATCATGTATAAAAAAATAATGATTGCATATTTTATTATCAATAAAAGACAACATATAAATTTAAAGACTTAAAATTTTAAAAATAATGTACTAGAGAGCGATTAAATAGTTTCCTACTTGAAGCACAAATCAAAATAATACTCTTACACATTTAACAAGTCTCAAATAAAAATTACTTACTAACAAGAAAAAATCGGGGCACGTGAGTTAATTGTCAACTCTTTTCCCTTTATCTTTCGCAGTGTTCCCTCCTCTTGCAAAATTACTAATTTGAGTCTGATGCAATTTGAATGACGGAGCAGTGGCCTGCTAGAACTTGTAGGTGGCTGTCGATAGAGATAGGTATAGAAGCATGTAAGGATGAAGCTTCCCGATCTTTATCTCCAACAATGGTAAAACTGTTTGTATTTTCATTCTCTAAGGATTTTCATCGCAAATCCTCCAATCTCACACTAGAATCATTTATATATGTGTGCTCTGGATTTATATCTCATTCTTAAAAAGGCCATCATTATAACTTTCACTGAAACGTGATTGGAGATGAATATTTGAATGGATAAAAACTAATTTGTCAACTCTGGTAGAATTCAATCTGTTTCTCTTGACATTGTGAATAAATGAATACGTGCACCAATTTCTTTCAGCTGAAGAACTTGTAATTGGTTGTGATAACACATTTTATGAAAAAAATAATAAGACACATTAATAATAATAATTAACAATAAAAATAAATAACTTGTAATTTAAATTAGTACCTTTTTGCCACTTCTACTAATTCTGGAGTTTCTGAACCATATGTCGACCACAAATCAATAGCATCCATGGTCACATCATCTGTTTGAGCCGCCGCCATAGCATAAAGACCCTTTCGCGAGTGAAAATGTGTATATTGTTCTCTCAATTGTGTTGGTTCTTCTACATCTTCTACAATCTTTTCAAAAGCTTCCATAACACTTATGATGACCTCTCTATCTTGATTTGGAGTTTTCCTAATTGTACCACTCGGTGCTAGCTTAGTAAGATATTGGGTATCATAAAATCGTGGTGTTAGTGTAAACCCAAGACAATACAAAGGAATATTCATCTTCTCCCATCTGTCAAGCACAATTTTTTCAATCTGGGAAAATTTATCAACGTGTTTTCCACCCCTCACAATATCTTTATTTCACCAAGCATGTTGTCCATCTTCTCATAAATCTCACCCATTTTTTGACCTTCCCCATCACAAAATTTAATAAGAAAAAATATAGGCTTTGTGATACTTATGATATTCTCTACATCCTGCCAAAATTCTTCACTAATAACGGTTTCCGTAACCAAAGCACCTAACTTCCTTGTGTGTTCATCCCCAGATTTCACCAATTCTTTCCATGACTTGAGAATAATGGTAGTTGCAAAGAACTCTCTACAGTCAACAAGTCGCTTCAACAAAATATAATACGATGCAAACCTGGTCTTAGCCACTTTTAATAGCTCCAATTTAGACTGAGCTCTAAACATAGCCAAAGCATGTGTATAATTCAAGAAATATTTAACAATAGACTTTCCCATTCTATAAGTATTTCTAAACTACTCAAATTCCTTTGCAAAATCTTTAAAAATTAGATTCAGAGTATGAATAACACAAGGAAACCAAAATATATGTTTGTGTACCTTTTGCACCTCTTTCCCTGCAAGTTTGTAATTTGCTGCGTTTTCGGTCACTACTTGAATGACATTTAGTAGACCTACTTCTTCCATGACTTTCAACAAAAAATCAGCAATTGCTTTACCTATTTTCTCTATCCCTGAAAAATCCTCAACATATAAAAACATAGTTCCACGACTATTTGCAGCAATGATATTAATAAGTGGTTGATTCTTCACATTAGTCCACCCATCTGATACAATGGATACCCCATTAGAATACTATGTATCTTTAACAGGAATCAAATCTTTTTCAACACTTCTTTTGCATTCATCCAATAATGTAGTTCTTGTTTTTTCATAGCTGGGAGCCTTGTAACCTTTAGGTCCTCTATTTATAGCTAAAATCATCTCATTGAATTGAGGATTTCTCAACACATTGAATGAAATTTCATTAGCACATAATTCTCTCATGACCTTCAAGTCAACCATGTCTCGATCCATTATTTTGAATGCATCTTCAATTGATCCCGTCATCGGTAAAGATTGCCGCTTCATCAATGTAGAATTTTTCAGGGATGAAGAAACTCCTATTTTTTCTACCTTTTGTACTATTTCTCGCAATTTTGCATATTCAGTCCAATTATTCATCAACGCTTGACACCATTTAATTTTTATTTTTTTCCTAGGTGGGGCACCAAAAAAGTGATAATGCATTCGCGTATAGGAACTTATAAATTTACCACCGCAATGCTTACACGACCAACTCTTTGATCCCCCTGAATTTTGTCATTGAGTTGTACCAATAAGATTGAATTCTTTGAGTAGTGATTTCAATTTTGCATCAACTTGTAATTGATTTTTCTGTGTGCAATTTTTTTGTGGTTGTCTAGTGTTATCTTCTTCCATTATTTTAATATGTTCAACTTTTTGTTCATCAGCAGAATCATCTAAATTATGAATATTAATTCCGAATTGTTCTTCAACCTGAGAAGAGTCTTGTTCTTCCCTCCTTCTTTTACCAAAAACTATTTTTTTAAGTAATAAAAATTCAATACAGTAGAGAGATATTGAATGAATAATGAGTAACAGAAAGATAGAGAAGAGAGAGAGAGAGACGGTAGGGATTAGGGTAAAAATCTAGAAAAATATATATGACTGCCCGGCTAGTTGGGTATAAAAAGTAGTAGTCTTTCAATAAGACAACTACCTAATTGGTAGACAGTAGTATTTTTACTTTTTATCCAAAGTGTGTGATACAATGTCTTGCAAAATAAAGGGTTTTTTCTATCTTTTTATCAAAAAAAAATTAGAGTGTTGTACACGTTGTCAGAGACTCAAAGTCTCAGTCAAATAAATTAAGTCAGTTTTTTTTTCATCAGACTCTTGGTTCTTCTAGACAGAAAAGAGAGAGAGAAAGAGAGAGAGAGAGAGAAAGAAACATGAAGAACGAAACCCACTTCAAAGCACACACACAGAGAGAGAGAGAGAGAAGGAGAAGAAGATCGATCGATCTGCTTGGGTGAGAGAATGAATTGCTTGCTTTAGCTCATAAATCCTTGGTCCATTGTTTTGAACAAACCTTTGTTCCAGTTCAACCCATAACTCATGTGCAGTCTCAACATATACTACAATGTTTTTGATTTTGAAGCCAAGTAACAACCATATCATTACATTCAAGCCAAGAATCTATCAGAGGATCATTGGGGTTTGTTGGCTTGCAAACTGTTCCATCGATGAAGGCCAATTTTCTTGTGATTCGAAGTGATCTTCGAACAACTCGAGCCCAAGAATTATTGTTTTCTAATGTGAGAAGGTGACTGGTAAGGAGGGTACCTAGTCCATCATTTGGATTGAGGAGGTATGAGTTAGCAGGGTCTTTTGGGTTGGGATTAGTTGCAGCATTATCACTGTTAGAAGAGGAGCCGTTGGGATTTGAGGGTGGTGTGGCAGTCATTATTTCTCTAATACCATATTGAAATTCTTAAGAATCAAAGTGCAGAAACTTAGAAAAAAAGATGAAGAAGAGAATCATTCTCATTCATATTTCTTCTACTATACATACACCTATATATACTAATTACAAAGAGTAGTGAGAATGTAATTGCACACCAAACTTATTCATCTAAATGCTTTACACATATGAGAAGTTTTCCTAACCAACTGTCAGCTTTCATATGCCTCAAGATTCTTCTAGTGAGCTCTGTAGGATCCTTCTAGTGTGCTCTATGTGGTCAAGCTGAGCTGTAGAAGGAATGATCAGTGGAAGTAGCTGAGTTGGAGGAAGTTGAGTTGGAGACTGCAGCTGCACTGGCTAAAT